TTTTTTTCTTTCTTTTCTTTTCTTCAAACAAGTCGATAACGGGAAAAATCTATACAAAAGACTTGGAGTTATATGGTATCCTGGCAAGGTCGAATCGCCTACCTTCCCTACCTTCAAGCAGCTGATCATGACACATCATCAAAGGCGAAGGACGAAAATGAGCAGCAACAACCGAACGAGATTAGGATCAAGAAAGAGCAAAAATAGTAACAAGAAGGAATGATGACTTTGATACTGGGTACTGCTTACTTATTGTAATCGTGTGTTGCCCTGTACTATTCTTCAACCACAACCATCCAGCAACCCGCATTTGCAATTCCCCAATAGAGGCTTTGCACCTTTACGTGATGGCAGCCATGACAAGAGGCACAACAATAGAGTCTTTCTTTYCCGGGGAAAATAAAATATTACTTATAATTAATCAGAGTAGACCAGAGTAGACTCATGGCTGCCATCTCGTGATGGTGCAAAGCCTCTAGACTTTTGCTGYTTCTATTACAACAAAGCTAACTTTATTTTAATCTTCAAAAATGAATCAAATTGTATAGTAAAATTTCTTCAATGTTGTTTTAATGTTATTTTCCTCTCATTTATACAATAAATAAGCTTTACTCATGTGCGTTGGTTTGTTCTATATCGTATGTTTTTAGTAGAAGGAAGAAAAATAGTAGAACGACCTTAGGCCATCGGTTGGGTAGAGTTGATATTGAGTCAATTGGATGGTGTATGAGACAAATCTACACGACAATCAAGCAGAGTATGAAGTACGAGTCGGATATATAATAKATTTATTAATAAATCTATTTTTAGCTCAGCGCTAAGCCGGCTTCGGAGATCTCCCAAAAAAAATGGAGTACTGAGACGAGCCTCTAATGAGGTTTCAATATATGCACGAAAGAACGTATTACAATAACATTTCAACTATACAATCAGGAGCTCTGTTAGAAAACCTTGCAAACTTTTTATTCCGACTTGAGGAATTCGCGCAAAAATAATATGTAATATAAACAATGTGTTCGGCGTGCGAAATATATCTTACAAGCTTAGATAGACATGGAAATATAGAGAGGCCTCTTGAGGCTGATGGATTTGTGTAGAGCAGTCCGGTAGTACACGTCTACGAAATCTGTAAGAACCAATGAAGGAGAGCATGCCATAATTGATTGTTGTCGGCGGAGGACAAGAGGAGAGTACGGCGAAGCAGAGGAAGCTTGTAGACAGTTTGCCTTGGGACCACACCTAACCTATGATTGTGGCAGTAGATTTGGGGCGAGAGTCTTAGGTTATACCGAAAGRCTTTTTGAGTTCTCGTGTTAAGATAAAAAGAATGTTATATGTTATCTTATCCACACAACCGTTTGAATGTTGTTTACTTCTCCGCAATATAAGTCGTCTGTTTTCTTTGCCACACAATCTTTTTGAATAAAGTCGCCAAGCACTCAGCACATCATTTCCTCATTTGTAGTCTCTAAACCTGGCATTCCCATTGCAGATCGGCATTAAACGCGTGCCCCCACGGAATGGTTTAGCTAGACCTCAGTAACTCCTTGATGCTTTAGATAAAGGGATATAACAGAAGACACCAGAGAGGTCATTTTTTCCCCAGGAATTTCCATGGTGCGAAGGCACGGAGTGTAGAGTCAACGTCTGGCATGAGTGACTGTTGAAGTTTACTTCAGCGTCCAACATTTGCAAAGGCTGTGACGAGGTGGTGACCAACAGAGGGTTTCTCAACGATAAAAGAAAGGTTGAGATCTTACACATTAACTACATTCACGCTGGTAACTTTTGTTTTTTGTTGTKTTTTTTTTGGGAGACTTATATTCTCTTTCTAGCTTGTCAAACTTTTCTTGTAGTTTTACCAGTTGATCTCGAGAATACTGTAGTTGACATCCTTTACGTTAAGGCGGCCATGGGTCTATCTTTAGGTGATCTTCTATGAAGCCATTACACCCTGGAATGTCACGCTTGAAGACGGTGTCGTATCGTTGTAAAACCTTTTGGAACTGATTACACATTAAGACGGAGACAAAGCCGGCCAGGACCACGGCTAGAGCTATTGGAGAACGGCCGCGTGACTTTATTTTCGTAACTGAAGAGAGGGAGGTAGAAGTGTGACTGAAGGAATCATTTGGCTGGTAAAATGGGCCCAACAGATGTGATGGTGGCTTCGAACGGGGTATGGTTCATTAGAGGTATTGGATATACGCAATTTACTCCCCACGATATCTACAACTTGAGCCCGAGGTTGGTGTTTAATGTTGAAGCGTGAAAGAGAGGCATGCACATCGTCGACAACGATTAACAAAGTTGTGTCACTGGCCTAAAATACCAGTTGTTTAGACTTCGATAACCAAAAGCATTAGCTTTACATTTATTTGTAAATAAGACAACCAAAGTTTTTTTAGATAAATCGACAATTCATTAATACTTGCAGGATTGCAAATCAACTAATTTCAAGTACGTGAAGAAGTTTCTTTCCATAATGAATTACCATAGCTATCCATACCCATACATCTGAAAGGACCCCCGTTAGGCATAAAGTGGTCTGCGGGATCTTATGTTGCGTCCTTTGTACGCCAGGTGTTGTCAAGGCTACAGTGTTCATATGAGCAGCTGCGGTAGGTAGTGTTATTGTTGTAGTTGGTTCTTTTGTACTTGTAGCAGGTTCTTCTATTTTTACTCCAAACCTTAAAGCATCTACTGCGAAACCTCCTTGAAGAGCTGCATACGTCTCCTTGAGCAGCTGCAGTATGTGGTGTCGTTGTGGCGGTAGGTTGCATTGTACTTGTGTCAAGGGTTATCGTACTTGTTGCAGGTCCTCCTGTTACTCCAGACACTACAGCATCTACTGACACGTCTAGACAGATTGTCAGAGAATTACTGACGAGGACTAAAATGGGAGTCCATATATCATAACGAGAAAGCTTGGTCTACTGCTCCGAGAGATTAGGATTTTTATTTATAAAAACACAAACAAAGATCATTAACTTTATATGTTTATTTGTGATTAAGACAAACAGAATTTTGATCGACCATTTATTAATACCTGCGCGCTTAAAAATCACAACTGTTTACGACTATATGTGGAAGTTTCTTTATACACTGAATTAACCGAAATTGTGATAAGCATTATAACAATCGAAAAGACCCGATGTATTGCATCCCGACAACGGGATCTTATCTCGTGAACCTTCTACGGCAGGTGCTGTCAAGGCTACACTGCTCACATGAGCAGCGGCTGCGGTAGGTGTTGCTGTGGTGGTAGGTTCCATTGTACTTGTTGTCGAGTTTGTTTCTTTAACTCGGACATCTTTGCTGAAAATAAAAAAATTAGAAGGAAAGGCGAAGTCACAAATCAATTTTCCATCCGTCCATCCGTCCATCCGTCCATCCGTCCATCCGTCCATCCGTCCATCCGTCCATCCGTCCATCCGTCCATCCGTCCATCCGTCCATCCGTCCATCCGTCTATTTTTCTTACCGCCCACTGCTACTCTTCTGCTTCTTCTTTCGCCACCTCTTGTTAGATTTTCGCCATGGATCTCTTTTTGCTGGCAACTGATTGTCTTTCCCCTTTAGAACAGCCTCGTCGAGTCTTCCTAGTTGTTGTAGAGAGTCGATTAATGATGAGATGCCGTGTTGTTTGCTTCGTTGGAGCAGCTCGTCATCTGGAGCTTTCAAAACGTCTTTTTCATCAAGTAATCCAACTAGTTTTAAAGAGAATTTTTTAAGTCATTGCAAACTCTCATTTTGAATGTAATAACTGAGAAAAAACTGGAATTGCTAAAAATATCCAACCCTTTAATTTTTTGAATATTAATATTGAAACTAAGTCGATTTTCCATTCGAGCACAACCAGCTAATAGAGGACAATCACCTTGAGTATTATTCCTACTTACTTAACAATAAAGACTGGGAAAAAACTTTGTCATTTACCTTGATTTATGGGAGCAGAAATGACAGAATGAAAAGAAAAGACCGCGAAGATCAGGAATATAAATATGGTCTTCATGTCTCTTGCTCTCCAAAGTGAGGGGATACCAATTGCTTTCAATTATCGAATCTCTCTGCCTAAATGCATGTACTTGGTACTGATTATATGACCCCCCGTCGTCAACCTTTGGTTAATATATTGGTTCTACTCGGGTTATTGGAGAATTATAACCTTGAGATACAAATACTCTATGGGGCATTCCTTGTGGTGTGGTATTACTTTTCATTGATAATATTAATCGTAAAAGTTCTTGTTCAAAGTTATATCGACAGAAGGCGAAAAGACTAGACGAAGAATGATAATAAGATGAAAGAACACACCTGGCAAGTTTGTACTGCGACTAGCAAAATTAGACGAAGGGATCGAGGATGGCGGAACCGGTCAAGTGCAGTAAGGTGACTTGATAACGGCTGACGGTTTTTAGAATCCTAGTCAACTACAATGCAGGGCGCCCCTATATTATTGTTCAACTGCATCGTTCTCGAAGCTCTTCTATGCACTGGTGGATCACAATTTTTGCAAATTTGCTGTGCCAAGGTCGTTATTCCCAAAGTTTCCTTCCTTTCATTCCACAGCAAGTAGGTTGAGTTTTTCAGAGAGATTCTCTTTGAGACATTATGACTTTTCGGTCGTCCAACTGTTAGACAACACAACTTTCAAAATCGCATGTCTACCTTAGATTCGTTGCCAAAATTTAAAAGAAATCTCATGAAAAGCATAGAATGACTACGTATCATTATTTTATGATTATCTTAAAACGTCTAGCAGTAATACCAAGACCGATGGAACAGGATTTTCAAACTTTACTTAATAACTATATATATAGTAAACCGCCATTTTGCTAGGCAGAGCAAATGGCCGATTGTTTTGAATCCGGCCCGCAATGCATTGAAGTTGACTAGGATTCTTTAAGAACGACGTTACTTTACTCGAGGGCTTGCAGAGAACTCTTCACGACAGAGTTTAGCAATGGCATTGGCGCAAGGCTTGCTTTCAGTCAGTAAAAACGTACGGCCTTCGGACTGTATTATGAAGGGGCTGAAGTGTTTTGCGGAAGCGGCAGAGCTCATTGCTTCAATTTCGCATTGTTGCCAATTAATTGGTGTTTGCGGAGTCTGGCTGCAAAAAAGCTTGCCAGGTGGAGACTATGTGAGGAAGCTAAGTATCTATGTATACCATAACAACTCCAAGGCCCCGCTGTAGGGCATAAAGTTGTCTGCGGGATCGCATCTAGAGTTTCTTGTATGCCAGGTGTTGTCAAGGCTACAGTGCTCACATGAGCAGGTCCGGTAGGTGCTGTTTGGGAGAAAGGTTCCTTTGTACTTGTACCAGGGTTTGAAGAACTTGTGGCAAATGTTCCATGTTTTCTCGTAGACGCTTTCACTCGATCATCWTTGCAGCTGTAAATCAATAAAATTAAAACGAGAGACGAAGTCATCCATCCATCCATCCATCGATGGTACCAGTTGAAAACGTAGCCATGAAACCAAATGTTTGGGGGTAAATGTAGATGAAAATCTAACATGGAAAAATCCTGTTGAATACATAAAGAAAAAGATTTAAAGAAAATAAAACCCATATTAGGTCAGTGCTACTTAGTTAAGGTTTATAATTGCTGTCTCGTTTGGGACAATCTTGATGAAACACTAGCTGATAAACTTCATTAGTTACAAAACCGCGCCGCATTGATAATTACAGGCGCCCCTTATCGTAGTGTTCGTACGGCTAAAGTATTTACCGACCTAAAATGGGTTCCTTTAAAAGAGATGAGACTACAACAAAAAGCAATAATGATGTTTAAGATTGTAAATGGTTTGGCACTGTCTTACCYCAAGGACATATTTGAAGGTTATGACGAAATTAATTACGATCTCAGACGATCTGAGAAAAATTTGAGAATCCCCAARGCCAGGACAGACTATTATAGTTAATCAGAGTAGACCAGGTTCAATTGTTCCTGTCTTATGGCTGCCATCACGTGATGGTGCAAAGCCTCTAGACTTTTGCTGTTTCTGTTACAACAAAGCTAACTTTATTTTAATCTTTAAAGTGCTACTACGACGAAAATCGCTCAAACTTGGATTCAGCTGAAACTTCCTAAAAATACTCTTTAAAGGTCCAATAATCACTGTATGAAGTGTTTTCTCGATATTCAG